AGAGGTCATGAAATGCTTCCTTGCTAAACAAAACTCTGCAGATGAATGACTCTATCCTGCTAACTTTACAAGACAAGCCAGGAAAATAGAGAAAAACCTCCAGACAACTAATTGGATGGGTTGGTTGAACGTGTTGTTTAGGATTTCCTACAGGGTTACTATACATTCCTTCAAAATGATAATTTGGTTTTGATACACTTGAGCTTCTTACTGGCAGTAATAGGTTCTCTTTCTTCATAAGGTCTTCCCTAAAAAGTAAGCAAATATAGGATAACTATCCCAGTACCCATTCACTAATGAAATAAGCATGAGCAAGCATGAGCAAGCATGAGCATCTGTGGTTCACACACAATTTTGGACAGGAGATGAGGGAAATTATTTAAATAATTTGGGAAAATTCTTTTTTTTTTCATTTCTTTTATTCATATGTGCATACAATGTTTGGGTCAATTTGGGGAAAATCTTTCATAAGAATATTTACATTGCATGATATATTATCTCTATGACTAACATTTAATTATTTTCCAACAGCATTGATAAAATATGCAATCATTGAGATTTCAAAGTGTCATATCATTAATTTTTAATTAAAATTTAAAATGAGTCTAGGTAATATTCCATATAGTAAGCATTTACTTATCTCTGCACTTTGTCCCCATTTCTAAATATTCCCAATATTAGATGAAATATGCCTTACAATCTCATGATCACTCCTTTTATTTTGAGCTTTATTATTAGTGTATGATTGACAAGGTGTACAACAGGATGACTTGATATTTGTGTACATTGTGAAATAATTACTAGAACCAAGTTAATTAGCATATTCACCTCTTTACCTGATCACCATTTTCTAAAATTAGAATCCTTACGGTCTACTCTTTTTAGCAAAGTTCAAGTACACAACACAGTATTGTTAACTATCATCACCATGCTGAATATTAGTTGCTTAGAAGTTACTCATAACTGAAAGTTTGTACCCTTTGATTAGTCCATTTTAATATTCTTTATTGTGGATCTTGTTGACTCCTTTGATTATTCTTTTTAATAAATGTTTTATGATTATCAATGTAAATTGGTCAAAATTAAGAAATTATATAAAAAAAAAAACCTGGCATGGTGGCTCAAGCTTGTAATCCTAGTTATTCAGGAGGCAGAGATTGGGAGGATTATGGTTCCAGGCTAGTGCAGGCAAAAAGTTAGCAAGACCCCATCTCAACCAATGGCTGGGTGCCATAGTGTGCATTTATCATCCCAGCTATGCAGGAAGCATAAATAGGAGATTGCAACCCAAGGCAGCCCAGGCATAAAGCAAGACCCCCATTTAAATAGTAACTAAAGCAAAAAAGCTTAGAGGCATGGCTCAAGTGGTAGAGTACCTGTCTAACAAGTGACAACTTCCATTTCTGCCAATTAAAAAAAATTATAAAAAGGAAAATCACATAGATCCTGCCTACAAAGTAAAGAAGTTGCCATTAACATGTGAAATACTTTTCAAAAGTCTCTTTTACTATATGTTTACTTATTGTACCAAAATGCTCAAGTAAATTTGTGAAACTTAATTTCCTGAAACAAAAGTCATTTGTGCATATATTCATTCATTCTTCCAATCATATTATTATTTTATGTTCTTGTATTTACTACTGTTATAGAAAATGTTAAGAATCATGATAAGAACTAGTGAGCAAAACCAGAACTGACTCTTCGTTGTACTTATACTGAGGATTGGAAGAACGTCTAACAATCATACATGTTATTGTATAATTGCAAGTTTGATGTGTGCTATGAATGGAAATCTACAAAACTAAACAAGTACATGACAGGAGCCTGACTTGAGTTTGAGACATCTTTGAGATCTGCAAATAGAGATGTCAAATAGCAATTGATCCCATGCCTATAAAACTCAGGGAAAACATGAACTTGACAATCACCCAGACACAAGTATTAATAGAAGCCATACATATGTATGGGATTCACTCAGTACAGACATACAGAGAAGGGAATTTTTTTCAGGAGAAAAGAAAAGAAAAAAAACAAACAAAAAACAGGAGTACTACCACATAGTGGCTGTGTGGAATGAGCCAAAGAAGTGATTCTGAAACCAGCAAGGTCCACAAGGTAGGAGTAAAATCCAGAGATAGGGATGCTCTAGGACTGGTAGAAGAAGGGCTTTCATACTGAGAAATCAAGTGGGGCAATCCTAAGAAATCCGCTAGGCTTAGCAGCGTGGCCATCAGTGACCATCAAGTCACTGATGAGCTATGTGAAGGGAAAGCACAAGCAAGCCATGGCAGAGGAAGCATACAGATAGCAACAACCACTTGGAGTTGTTGATTGTGAAGAGGAGAAACATATGACCAAATGTAACCATGGGACACAGAGAAAATTTGTTTATTTCAGGTTTTTGTTTTGTTTTGTTTTGTTTGTATTTCAAGGTATTTAAATGCTACTTGGAAGAGTAGAGTTGAGAGGGTTGTACTGAGCCAGACTCAAACCTTTAGACATCTGATTTAGTCACTGTGGGAAAAGGAGTGGGAGTCAGGGTGTTTATTCAAAGCTTTCCAGGTGATTCAATTGTGCAGCCATATTTGAGAGCCACCGCTGTAAGTCACATGTCTATATGTTTAATTTAAAAGTAGTCCATGAGTTTGCTGAGTCCCAGCTCCATCCTGTCATACTAGTCCTTTGGCAGATTTATATGGGGACCAATGGCTTCACAGGATCACCTGTCAGATCTGTCCTGGGAAAGTTATCACCTAGTGTTAATTTCCATTAGCTTGCCAGCTCTTTGATCTGCTTCAGTAGATAAATTCAGAATGGTCATCTTCTTTTTTTGTTGTTCTTTATTTTTATTTTTTTATTATTCATATGTGCATACAATGCTTGGGTCATTTCTCCCCCATGCCCCCACCCCCTCCCTTATCACCCACTCCGACCCCTCCCTCTCCCCCCCACCCCTTGCTACCCAGTAGAAACTATTTTGCCCTTATCTCTAATTTTGTTGAAGAGAGAGTATAAGCAATAATAGGAAGGAACAAGGGTTTTTGCTGGTTGAGATAAGGATAGCTATACAGGGAGTTGACTCACATTAATTTCCTGTGCATGTGTGTTACCTTCTAGGTTAATTCTTCTTGATCTAACATTTTCTCTAGTTCCTAGTCCCCTTCTCCTATTGGCCTCAGTTGCCTTTAAGGTATCTGCAACAAATGCTAACTAATTTTTTAGGTGTCTTACCTATCCTCATATCTCCCTTGTGTGCTCTCACTTTTATCTTTTTAAATATCTTTCTTAACAAAGACAAAGCCAAAGAAATCACTTAGCTTTCTCCCTATCTTTTCAGTACTGAGGCAAATCTTTCAAGCTGATTATAAGGTATCATATTAAGATCATTTCTTTCCATTCATTAATGAATTATTTTTAATGTTTCTAATGTGTCTAATAAATATTTGAATGTCTTTTTAAATTTTTAAAAACATGCAAGTATATACTATTTCAGTAATTATAAAATAGCACTACCACCAGTTTTACACTAGAAGAAATAGGAGCCCCAAAAATTAATTTAACCAAAAAAATGCAGATTAAAATAAAAGAGGGTCTGAGGCTAGATCCTGATATGTACACAGTCCTCTCGGTAGATCATGCTTCCTCTGCAGTGGTGGGCAATTGTTTTACACAAATACCCCACCAAGCACACCATGTGGATAAGTATATATCAGACTGTGTCTGCAAAGAGAAAAAAAACAACTACCATAACAGTAGAAGGTGAAGGTCAGAGCCAGCTGGATAGTGGCTACAGGAAACAATGTACTTGGGACTTATCTTGATGAGCAAGGCATGTGAAGCAAGATTCTTCACATTCAGCACTGCTATATATTCCTATATGTTCATATGATTTTGAAGCTGGAAAGAAATCCTAACCAAAATCCCTCATGTTACAGAGATGAGTGAAGTGACATCATATCTAGTTTGTGACAATGATCATGGTCAAGCATATATGTCTTAAACACATTCAGTGAGCATTTTCCCAATTATATCAAAATGATAACTAAAATTATCAAAATAGTCATACTTGGAGATAATGGGAAAAAATGGAATCTCTTTTTAAACTGAGTGAAACCTTGTTCTAGAAATCTCTAGACTCAAGTTTTTATTGGCACCCTCCAATATGGTAGCCATTAAGCATATGTAGCTATTTAAATTTGAAAAAGGCTAAAATGTAGCTCCTTATTCACTCAAGCCACATTTCAAGTGTTTTTTGTTTTGTTTTGTTTTTAGCTTCAAGGGCTAGTGAATACTATATAGGACAGTGCAGATTATAGAACTTTTCCATCATTGCAGGAAGTTCCATTAGGCAGCACTGATCAAGGTCTAGATCATGCCATTCTCTAAACCATGAGCATTGCTTGGCCTTTCCAGCAACATCCATAGATCTAAGAACAAAGTCAAAAGCCACTTGACTTTATTTATTGGACATGTCCTCATTCAAATCATAATTATTAGGAAATATGTACTGCCCAGAAGAAAACAAGTTAGATTGTTCATTCAGTAGGATTACTATGAGAGGAATCTACTTCTGTCACAGGTATAGTGAAAGAGAAAACATTAGGAGAGTGCAGGGTAATACTTTATTGAGTATTAATGTAAAACAAGAGTCAAAATGTATAAAGCTGCGTAGATGCAGCTGGAAGAAGGGTAATATTATACTACATGACTTATGAAGTTGTGTTGGCTGTTGTTTATTTTCTTGTGGTGCTGGAGATTAAACCCAAGACCTTGTGCAGCTAGGCAGGCACTCCACCACTGAGCTACACCCCCAGCCAGAAGTATGAAGTTTTATCCAAGAGAGCAACAATAATACCAAGTGTCCCTCAGGAACATCTATGCTTGTGTGACATGTGGCAGGACCTTGTGTCTAAGTCTCAAAAGAAGACGACAATATAATTTGGCCACAAATATTTCTCAGTTTCTCTATATTCTGTTTTGATTTTTTTTTTTTTTTTTAGATCAATGGTGGAGAGAAGCGGCCTGCCTCTGATATGGGGAAAAAACCAAAAACTCCCAAAAAGAAGAAGAAGAAGGACCCTAATGAGCCCCAGAAGCCTGTGTCTGCCTATGCATTATTCTTTCGTGATACTCAGGCTGCCATTAAGGGCCAAAATCCAAATGCTACCTTTGGTGAAGTCTCCAAAATTGTGGCTTCAATGTGGGATGGTTTAGGAGAAGAGCAAAAACAGGTAAGAAATGTTCAAAATGGAGCAGGAATCAACCTGATTTGAGGCATTGTATACAGCCTTATAGAAGCAGTTTCTGAGGGCTTCGAGTGAATTCTTCAGATTCCAGTTCTACAACTAAGAATGCACCCACCCGTCAGAACCAAACTTTAAGAGATAGCCACATAATTTTATACCCCTTTATTACTCCTCCATAAATTGCATATTAGTTCCGTTGTTTCAAAGTTTATGTAGTGTAGTTACTTTCTACATGTCCCAGCCAAGATTACATCATACTTTAATGATGCCAATGTATCATAAAGATGAAAAAGAGTCCTAAAAATATTTTGAAAACTGTCCACACCATCAAAACCCTCTTTGCTATTTGCAAATGAACCTCAAATTTAAGGGTATCTACCCTTGACAATTCCCTAAAGACCAACAAGGTATGTTATTCAATCCCCCATATAGATTTAGACTGTATTTCTAGGCTGTGTTAAATGGGACCAGATGCCTAGTTTTTCTTTCTTGTCTTGTGGATTTCTGTGGTGTGACTGAGGGCCATGATTAGGGAGGTTCACAAGAAACATCCCGGAAGTAGTGTAAAGTAGCCCAGGAGATCTGAAGGAGGATGGAAACCATGTTGAGAGAGTAAGAGCTTGGTAATAGAGGAGCCACCCATATGAAGAAGCAATATTGATCCCCTGTGTATAAACTGGGAGCTAGATGACCATTGTCACCATGTACAATCTCACTGTCACAAAGAAAAGATAAATAAGCATATTTATTAAAATTAGTCATTGAAATGACTATTTTGGTACACACTTAGCTATTGCAGAAGATCAAATTGAATAAATAATATATTTAGTCTCACATTTCATTCTTGATTGAGACATTTACCTCCCCTCATCAAGTCCAGGGATGTATGTAAAAAAAAACAGAAAATCTCAAACTGTTTTAGGCATCTAGAAGAAGTTCTATATTATGACTATACATCAATATCTATAACATATGTAAGGTTAGAGACTTAAAAGCACCTTGGTATTATTTATTTGTTCTACACAATATTCTTAGGAAAGTAGAGAATGATTATTCAAATTTTATAGATTATGAAATGGGACCAAGTAAGTTAAATTCATTCATTTATTCATTCAACAAGTGTTTGTTGAGCACTTAACTTGCCAGGCTCTGTTCTAGGAACTGGAGACAGAGCCGAGAACAAACCAAACAAACCCCATGGGCTGAATGACTGGTCTAAGGTTACACGACTGGTACATAGAGTTATGATAAATAGACTCCATCACTTAATTTAGAGTTTTTTTTCCTTACAAACTCTATGGAATCAATGATAGTTATAATGATAAAAACCAGGTTCTAAGGAAACATAGAACCTGTCCCTCTAGTTTCCTTCAGATCAATTTCCTGAGTCAAATTGTCCTCTATACACTGAAATCACTCCACATTTTCTTATGTCCTTTACAAGATTGCCAGCCTGCAAGAGTGCCTTCTAGGATAGCACAGGCCTGCCCTGTGGAGCACCGTGCGTAAGAGTCATCTTCAGGAATGGTGAACACACCAATGAAACGTTCACAAGACAACTAAAATATCTGTTCTACTCTTTCTAGGGGAGTTGGCAGTGTATTATGTGATTCTGATTGAAACCTGTTATAGCTGTTTCTAGATTTCAGATTGGTTTCAACCCTAACTCAGATAAATTTGATCTTACACTACCAAATCTAAAGTATGGCTCCCAAGTGATGATGGAATTGTACAGAAACTTACTCCTCATGTCATAGAGCATAGCTGAATGACAGAGTGAGTACACATGGACCAGGAATCTCAACTCTGTCCCTGTTTTCTGCATCATGTAACTTTAATGCCTCCCTATTCTATTCATGATGTCACATAGGAGGACATACCCCCCTCCCTGCCCCTGCGGCCCCTCTGTGTGCTCTTGGATAGGCATTGTCTATCTATACCTTAAACTCTTGCTTTTTGAGATAAAATTTCATGGAGGAAGCTTCCAGAAAGTGACTCTTCTCCATAGGGAATTGTGTATAGCAACTCATGTTCATCAGAAAACATCTGTACATGATTGCTTTCTGAAGATTCTTCCTCTCTGTCCTATCCAAGATCCAGCAGCTGAGCTGGGAATATTGTTCCAAAGCTCCATTGTGCTACCTTCCCTTTTGCTTTGTCAAAAACATTAGTTGCCCATATTAACACTCATCTTCCTTCTTTTAACTATTTTTCTGACATCAGTTTTCCTAATTACCTCCTCCATTCTAGACCAGTGTTTTTAAGAGAGGTAGATCTGCTTAGGCTTCCCTAGACCAGGATTGGTCCTTTACATTACCAATATTAAAAAAATAAGTACCTGTGCTCTTGTTCCTATTGAAAAAATATAACATTTGTATGATCAAAATCAGGTAATTCCCAAGGTGGTAAATGTAAAGTACCAGGTTTCTTTCTACGAATTCTACCATAAAATAAGGCCTTTTATTTTTAAATTACCAAGAGGGGAATGTTAAGATAATATTCCACATTTTTTTTTTGTAACCATTTAAGGTGTTTACAGACCTAAAGAAGAAGCGATTGCTATTCTCAACTGTTAGGTTGAAAAGAGAAATTATTCCCATTCTCCCATTCTAGTTTTCAAACCTGAGGCTGAGCCTTCCAAATGTAGACATGTTACCAATTATGATGTTATATCCAAGGCTTTTTAATTGCATATATTTAATGACACATTTTCCCTTTTCTTTTTTGCATTTTATTTCTTATTTAATGCATAATTCACAATGAGTTTATCTTTAGCTTCTTTCTTAATGGAAATAATTAAGGTATTTTGTGGAGAATTTATATTATAAGTTAAGGATGAAGTTGTATAATAATTGACTTTTATAACTCAGTACGTAATATAAAGCAATGTCATCATCAAAATCTAATTGCTAAAAAAAATCCCATGCCAAGATTATTTAGGAAAATACTTTGAAAGAAATAACTTCATCTTTTGTTTCTTATAAAAAGTAAATATTTTTAAATTTGAGCATTTGTTTAGTAGTTATCAAAACAAGGTATTGGGAGCAAATTTGGTCACTCAAAGATGGTTTGAACCCATGCCTGATGCTCCTTTTTTTACTTAGTAGGAAATCAGCATAGCCTATTCTTTTCTCTAAACATGATCTTGCTTAATAGAGTGAGGATGCAGATTATGCTAAAGGTGTGATTTATGACACACATAGGATGTAGGTCTATGCCAGGGACAAGTAAAGGGAGGGATAAGTGAATGAAATCAGACTCTGCTTACAAAAGGGGGCGTATTGCCTAGATGGTCCACTGCTCTGCTGCTCTGTGGCAGTCTGTCCCTAACATTTTGCAAGAGTTGCCAGAAAAGCAAACGTGCCTGCCTAAAATGCACATTTGGGTATCTAGAAAATATCAGCAAAGTATCCCAAAGTGTTATTATGTTGTAGTACCACCTGTTCTCTCCCCTTATGTGGATGAATTGTGCCAACATCTTGTAATATCTGTTTCAGACTTAAATGAATCTCACTTTATTCTCATTTAATATTCAAATTGGGGAGCACCCATACTGCTATATATTTTTCAAGGAATGTTTCTGGAGCAGTTTAGAGGCTGACTACTAAACTTCTAAATTTTCAACAAATATGCATGATACAGAACAAATCCACACAATGCTTTTGGCATTCTGTAGGCAGCTGGTTTGGGTAGAAAGCTAAGATTTCATGTGCCATGACTGTTTGAAAATCCTGTTATCATAATAGCCCACAATTAAGGGCAAATAAAAACACAAACTAGGAAAATGAACACAATTATTGATCACTTATTGGGGGCTCAGAAAATTACAATATTTAAGGAAAAACAGCTATTAGCGAGATTACAATAGAATGTGTTCATGACAACCAGAGGGAATGTGGCTAACAGAGCTGCTCTGTGTTTATAACATATGCTCCCTCATTGTGGATATAGGAGGAGTAGGAACCCACTGGAGAGGGCAGATCTTTATTTTTTAGAATCCATGGTGAGTGAAAAATTATGTGTATTATGATTTCTGCAAAGAATCTTTCAAAGAGAAGTCAAAAGGAAGCTGAAAGATATGATAAAAAAAAAATCCTCCAGAAACACAAAACCTCCCTTATGAATCATTCCTATCAAACTCACTGAAAAACTCTACCTATCAGAAATGTCTCTACTTTAATGCTTGGGAAGATGGTGCTGAATTTGGACTGGAAAGAGAATTGTGCTTGGGATTCCAACTGGGGGTTTTAAATGCTAATGACTCGTAAGACAATGGAAAGCCCATCTCAGAAGCATACTAAGTTGTTTAAAAGGCACCAGATGGAGAAAGGGAAATAAAACACAAGTATTGCTGGGATGTGGGTCTTTGCTACTTATCTTTCACTGACTGGAACCTACATAAAGAGAAAGCCAGTGAGTTAACAGTATCACGCCCTTTGCATTTCAGCTCCTTGGAGTTTCAGCAAACCTCAGCATGTTTTATTATTATTATTATTATTATTATTATTGTGAGGTTCCAGCTAAATTTCCTGTCTGCCTCTGTGATTCTGGTTATTGTGGACCTCTAAGTGACGATATAGAACAGTTTGAACCCTACAAAATAAAAAAGCCAATCCAACTTTTGAAACAGTACAGTTTGGTCCAAAGGGCTATAAAGTGTTCTTTAGTCCTGTCTAGCCATGGAAAGTCACCTTAAATCAGAACCAGATGTAAATGACTAAATGAACCTTAAGTTCCTAATTAGAGACACAGTTGGGCTGTAAGACATTTAGCAAATTACAAACAAAATGTTCTTGTTTACATTACATTAAATGGCTTTAAAGCTGCAGCCAAAGAGCTAAATAAACATGCTGTTATGCTAAAAATGGAGTGGAAAGCCTATTTGGGGCTTGGTGTATTCAGAAGAAACCGCAGCCCACGGGTGCCCAGAGAGTGTATTTTTGTAAATGCTAGTCCTGTTGTGGAAGAAGAGAGTGGTTTTACCT